GACATCATGGTGTGGGAGCCATAGGGTATGACTCCAGGTCATCTCTGGTAGTGATTCGGGGGACCCTGACGGCACAGTGTCACATCAATGACATCCTGCATCCGCATGTCTTACCCCTCCCGAGGCAGCACCCTGGTAGTCTTTCAACAAGAGAACACAGTACATGTGTCTATGGACTGCCTGCATCATGTTGAGGTCCTCCAGTGGCCGGCCAGGTCCCCCGATCTTTTCCCAGTCAAACATGTGTGGGATCAGCTCACACGTCAACTCACACCCAGTGCCAATCCGCAGGATCTCGAGGGCCAGTTACAGCAGCTGTGGGCCGACTTGCCGCAGGAGAGGATACAACGGCTGTACGACTCCCTTCCACACCGCATCACCGCATGTATCCAGGCCCGAGGGCGGGGGGGTGCCACACCCTACTGACATGGGACCAACAGCGTGCCCATACTGCCAACTCTGTTGTCCGTTTGATTTGATATTATAATCATTGCGATACAGTCTTATGATTTTCCACCACTCCGTCTGGGTACTTAACTTTTTTGTTATTGATTGTATTATCCGATATAAAAGAAGCCTTTCGGAATGGTACTGCAGCGCATTTTTCCACCGCGTGGTGGCAAAGTTTATCCCTATAATCTATTGCAGTAACAGCCCTAGTAAAGTACTTCTCTCTCTCTCTCTCTCTCTCTCTCTCTCGTATTTTATGTGAGATTGAAGAGAGGTTAAGGTTCCGTGAAAATGAAATATGGCAGCAACAGTAATTCAACTTGTGTCTGGGTTGAATGATTTCCAGTGATTCTTTATGTACTTGCATCACCAAGTGAGGCGTGCAGCACATGCATGAGACGTGGATGTTTTCAATGAAGCCGATCTGTTGGCTTTTAAAAGAAGACGAAAAGAAATTTAAAACATTTTTTTACACTTGTCCCTAAACCGTAAACCTTCGACAATAAGTTTAATATGTTACGGATTGGCTGTGTTATAATGATTTCACGCGCTTGATCAACCTTTGCGTTTAAGGAGAATGTAGGTTTTTAACGTAACTAAAATGTGATCGTTATGTCCAATGGGCCTATTCCGCACGAAAACATACCTAAATATGACTAATATTTGTATAATCGATTTCACCGTTTCCATTTAGTTTTATATCGCTTTGTCTTTACAAACGTCCCTTTACTTGTCATGCATTGCATACAACGGACGTAGCCTACCATATGTTTCATTCAGCTATTTTAAATGGTTGGAGATCTTTAATTGGCATAACTCTAGAATAAATTTTTATGTGAAATGACTGTAGTTTTTTAACATTAGTTTTATCAGCAATGTAATTCATTGTTATACGTGTACAAAGCGCCACGATAATCTTAACTATCCTCCCGAGTATTCATATACCCATCTACTGCCTTCCTCATTCATTATAACAAGGATTTTTTTCGCCAAGTCCATCACTTGAAAGTATTTTAAGCGTCTATTCTACTCTAATAAATATTATGCCCCTATATTTGTTATGATGAAGACTTTGTTTTTTCTCCCACTTAAATTTTCCGGACTCGACGTGAAATCCTTGCTATTCTCTCTCGAATGTATGACACTGACTAAATTTCCCGGATTTCATCTCTAATATGTACGCTTTTCTTATAATTGTTCTATAGATATCCTAATTTGTTATGAATGAAAATATATTTATTATTCATAAATGTGCAAAATATTATGAAGTATGTTTTTTTTCCAAAAATACAAATTTATATATGATTAAGAACGTCCCCCTACCAACGAGACACGGCCGGATTCCTTTTAAAATATATGACTTATTCATTGCGATATTGAAACCATACAATGGCGTTTTATCATCTATTCGGACTGTTTTCAATCAAACAACATGCGTGACAAATTTATGAAATCACCTGCAGGTTCGCCATTGCAATGAACTCTCCGCATCTTCCCCGGGGTTTCAAATACATCAGAAGCAGGAAATGTGTGAATCCCCAAAGACGAACTCTGGTACTTAATATAAACAACGGTGGACCCTCGTTAAAACGCCGTTACCCTGATTTATTCGGTAGGTCGGCGTCAGGGAATATACATGATTATTAATGCAGAACTGACCTACTTTGAAAATACCAGTGTATTTTTGTGTTAAAAGTATCAGATGTATGAACTTATTTTTCGCAACATATCCGCATTAATCCCAACTCTTTGTGTTAAAGTTTAAATTATTTACTACTTTAAAGTCAGTTAATTTTATGGTAATCAAGTTAAAAAAAAGTTATTTTAAGCCGTCTGTTCAAGTAATTACTTGCTTTGGTCATATACTGTATTCGTTATGTCATAGTTTAATTGTTTATATAGAATGTACGTAATTTAAACGTCTACATTAACAGTTTCAGAATATTTTCAATCACCTAAATATGGTCTGCTTATTATTTAAGTATTTATAATATCTGTGCGCAAATCTTCTGCTGTACAGTCAGTATCATTGCAGCGTTGTGCTACATGGATGTGTTAGCCATATGCTGTCAGTAACTGCTGTAACAGCGATATCATAAACTTACTGACACATTTCAGCCATAAACGTCATTTCCCTCGGACTGTTCATTTGATTAAATCTATGCGCCGGTCTCTGCCGCAGTAGCCCGTATATGCCGACTGCGTGGGTGATCCGCAGATCGCAGTTCGGAGGTAAAACACTCCTTGCGCCAGAAATGAAGTCTCGCTAAACTTAAACATATGACTTCAAGTGAAGGAATTTCAGCTGGGATCATAGCTGAACACAATTCAGAAGTGCGACAACGCTGAACTTTACTGACTCCGGCAATAAAAAAACGTGAAGTGTACTGTTTTATGAAGTCTGCCTGACCGTGAACTTTTCCCTGATTGGAATAATTTAGGACATTAATTAATCAAAACTCTCAATCATTGGGGGGGGGAGCAAAACTTTCACTAACAAACATTTTTTTTTTCATAACAAACTTACATCTATTATTTGAATCTGTAACAACTTTTTAACATTAATGAAAAAAACAATTATCTAAGGCCGAGACCTCTTATGTGGAATGTAAAATGTAACATTACCGACAAGAAGTCATATTCATGTGTTTGTATGTAACGCATAGCAAATTGAATGCATTGATTTCCTTGTTTTACATCAACAAAGAAATTTATTTTCTTGTAGCCTATTTTATTTACTATATTCTCATATATATGGATAATTAGATAGACAACAAAAATGGAAAATCGATAGGCGATATCCTTTCTGATCTAAATTTTGTTTACAGATGTCTTGCAAGAATTTAATTTTACACAAGTTGAAAAGCATACTGTTGGCAAATTAGTTCGGTATCAGTATGTAAACATCGGTGTCTGTTGATATTCGGGGTACAGGGTAAAAATGAAGTTTATATATCGAAATTCCAAAATGGTCAGACTGATATGATAAACCATCATCATAATCACCATTTGAACAAGATGAAGTATCAGATATATTTTTCGCTTGACCGCAATTTTTCCGAAAAGGTTGTGCGTGCAGATCCGAGCGGCTCAGCTTGTTTTTTTCCAAATCGTGGTCGTTTTTGTTTATTATTTGGAGAAAGTTGCGCGTTAAAATTATTAGCCTATATCTAAAACATTAAAATTTTATTATGGGTATAGGCCTACTATTTTGATATGCTATGTTAAATACACAATTTTATAGAATCGTACAGCTGTGCGATGGGCATGATATCTAAAGTAAATTTCATTGTTTGTAATGAGTCGTGCAATTGAGAAATAAAGTGACTTCAGATAATAATACACGCGTTTCTGAGAAATATTACTTCAGACAAATAATCAGATCGAAACAGGAAGAGTCATGTTAAGATGGACTATTTTTGGACGGTTTTTCTAGGACATCAACAGGAGGACGCCTCGTGTTTTTGGTGTTTTTCGCGGATTTCATTGGAGAGGAGTCCGCTGCATCTTAAGCACTTCACAATGACATCACGGTCACCTGATCTCATTATGGTTACAGTTAACGAGGAAAAAAGTGCTGTGACGGACAACGCTAGAGTCTTTGGAAGGCTTATCGTTTTATTTCACTTCGTCCGCCCTTTCTCGACAGCAAGATACCGAGTTTTTAAAGGTAAACTTTTATTTGTGCAACACGTGTAGGAGGGTCTGAGTTGCAGTTTAACGACTTTTTGCTGGGTGGGGAGCTTACAGAAAATCGAACAGCTGGTATTTCTATGTATGTAACATTCAATATATTTCTGAATGGGAAACGAAAAGACAGGTTTGTTCTGGCAGAAAAAATAATCTGCTATTTTCAGATCGGTGTCGCATATCCTGCCAGTGGCACAGGTGGCGTTGGGTCTGTTTTTGGATTATGACTTTAGACGCAGAACCCATGGAAGATCCCGACATCGACGTGGTGGGAGACGGTAATAAGGATCCCAGGAAGAAGACTTGTTTGACGCAACTTTCGGAAAAAGCGAAAGACGATTCAGAGCTTGAACCGAGCAGTGCAGCCTCTTCTCCCAAAACACGAGACAAAGTGAGTGAGGAGTACGATTCTCCGCCAGAAGCTGGTCCTGCCGTGGTGAAAAGCAGCGTTTCCGTTAAGCCGCCGTATTCCTATATTGCTTTGATCACTATGGCCATCCTTCAGAGCCCGAAGAAGCGCCTCACGCTGAGCGAGATATGCGAGTTTATCAGTCACCGCTTCGCTTACTACAGGGAGAAATTCCCGGCCTGGCAGAATTCAATCAGACACAATCTGTCACTGAACGACTGCTTTGTCAAAATGCCCCGGGAACCCGGTAACCCGGGGAAGGGAAACTACTGGACGTTAGATCCCATGTCTTCTGACATGTTTGAGAACGGAAGCTTTTTGCGGCGGAGGAAGCGTTTCAAGCGGCAGCACTTCAGATTCAGCATGCTGAAGGAGCCGCAGATGGAGTCCGGCGCAGTACCCAGCTTTACGTACGGCGCTTACGGGATCGGGACGACCTGCCTGCAGATGGTCCCTTTGGAGTTATCCCCCATGGGCACGGATCACCCCTCGGGCTCGCCCTGCGCTCCCAGCATCCCACCTGTCAGCAGCATCTTGCCGGCGCTTTCCACCCTGTTTTCCAGGACCTCCCACGCCGGCACAAAGACTTTTTTCCCATCGCCGACTCTCCCGTACGAGTCACTCAGCACGGCTCGCTGCACTCCGGTCTCCTCCGCTTTACTACCTGAATACCGACATTTTCCCAGCGGGCTACTCCAACCAATGGCCTCCCCGCATCTCCTCAGTCTACAGCAAGAATATCATAAAATGCACTCCCTGCACAGCAGCTCTCTCCTGTCTAGTAAACTGCTCCAGCAGCTCGGAGATGGAAGTAACTTATAGCTGTGCTTGATGTTGCTATATATACTATTCAGGATACTGCTCCGATTTAGATTTCTTGAAGCACGTGCGTCAATTAATCATTTTGAAGAGGTTTTTTTTTTTGTAATTGTACAGTTTTTTAAATTTTATTTTCATTGTGCTTCAGTGCTGTTAACAATTTAAGATTCGCTGCGCCTTTTCTAAATGAACTGTAAATTTTAACGTATCTAATATCAAGCAGAAGAATAAAATTTTGTTTTTGAGATATGAGAGTTTTCTTAAAAAAATCTCCGAGATGAAGCAACACTAAATCACTAGGCTATAGACAAATGAGCGTAGATGACGTTGCGGTTCGACAGGTGACGTGACATCCCTTTTAAAAAAGTAAATAATATGAAACCATTGCTACTAACAGCCGATGATACTGACATCAGAGTTTTATCATAATTGACATGCATTATTCCAATGCTTGATGCAGGTTTTGACTTTTTTTTTAGATTTCTGTTCAAGGCGCCTTTAAAATTGTTTTTTTTTTTTAAAAAAAAAAAACGTCAGTGGGAACTTAGTAGACTATGACACTTCTTGTAATATTTAAAAATCGTCAGTATCGTAGGTATATAAAATATATTAACACGGATTTTAGTTTAGAATTATCTGCAAATATAAATGGAAAAGGATGAAAACCGATGCTAACGATATAAAAAGCCCGTTATCAGTCTTTATTAGAAATAAAGATTTCTAAATGTTTCTAAATTTGCGCAACAATTTAGACGATTTTAACGATGTAACGTAAACAATTATTTTGATTTTTGGAAATAAAACATGAAAGTATAACTGAGAGCTAACGGTTGTATTTTGAATAGCTTACCATTGAAACCTAAACTGTCATATTGCTATAATAGAAGTCACTCCTAAACATAAAACGTATTGCTAAAATTCTGCTTTAATTAACATTAATCAAATTTGCTGGTCAAAATCTTCAGATAATTTACAACATTACTATAGACCAATCAGTGTTCATTCATGGGCGTTCTATATTATATAGACCACACACAGTGTAACCACTCTCAAATCAATAAACGAAACGCGCTTAATGTAGGAGAATTTAATATTTGCTGAGTTTTTAGAGCTACGCTTTAGGCTGATTGCCCACCCGGTTACCTGCAGCCAGCAACCCCGATTTTGGCATGTCATGAAAGAAAACGTTTTGGGAAGCAAGAAGCAGGAAAACCGAGCGTGCAGTTACCATGTGTGTCGGCGTTCCTTCACCGCACCATCGTGAAATAGTCTGTACAACTTAAATAAAAAAATCAGGCGTTAAATTAACCTATATTTCCCTTCGCGGGCGCATATGTAGACTACAGATCCATGAAGCTGCTTTATGTTATAATGAAGTTGATTTAGTAACGTCCGTTGATATTCGCCTTTATGGTTAATAAGTCCTGCATAATTTAAGATGCTCTTTCTTTTAAAAAATTATCGTCGAATAATAAACTAACAAGGAACAGATGTGGCACAATAGCAAACCGTGGGATATGAACGCTAGCGCAGCGCAGGCCGCATCCCAGTGCATTAAGGAGATTTGACATGGTGCGAAATACTCGTGCCAAAGTATATATTTTTACGCGTCGCTTTTTAGTAGCTGAACTAGTTATATTTTCTGCGCGTACAAATTCATTGCTAAAATAACTTGGTAACTTAGGAATATGACTAACAGGGAAGTATTTTTAATGCGCTGGTAGCATAGTGTTTGTTTTTATTTCACTGTCTAAATTTGATGGATTACCCTTTAAGTTATTTTGGACGAGGATGGCGGTTGAAGAGGCCCATCCAGTTTGCTTCACGGTCGGATTTTGGCACCGACCCATAAAAATGTACACTACCTGATAGCAATTTCACTTAGGTAATCAATCACTCAGATACATTTTCCTGACTCAATTTGGAAATCCCAACTCAGCTAAGCCACTCTTGTCAACATTGAAAGTACATTTTATCATTTTAAAAAATGTATTTGTTTGCAGTCATATTGGCACTGAAGATTACATTTTTGAAGGTGGATATGTTTCTCGTGACAAGAAGTAGCCTACTACATTAATATCTGAATAATTTTAATGTGCTTTGTAGCGTACAAGGAGAACACTAAACAGTGTTCAATCCAATCACAAGAAATATTCTCTAATCAGTAATTAATAAATAGGCTTTCAGAGCCAAGCGATGTTATATGAAGATGTACTCAAATGTGATAAGGCTCGAGTAAAATCTAGCAGAGGGCGAGGAAAGGGTTGTTGTGAAAAACTGTTGCTGTGTGTACATTCTTTTAAAATAGTAAACAGTGCACTCCTGGTCTTTTTTAGGTACAAAATATAGGGGCTACGGACGTGAAAGTGAAACCTGATATTTACTGCTAGACCATCCTCCCATCTGAGGTTAAGTGAAGCTCAGTGAGTGGGGGGGAGCAAAGTTCTGGGCCACTGTAACTCGAACTAAAACACTGCTAATATGCATGGCTCTGGTCTCTGAGGCAGGCGAACTCTCACCTGTCACCAGCACCGTGGAGTTGAAGGCTCGTTCAGAGCAAAATGGATAGACCAGGCAATAAAGTGCTGATGTGTGGACAGTAACTTCTGTAGGAGGTCCTGGGGCTTTTGTTGGGAATGACTTTAACAGCTAAAGGGTTTTTTTTTTCATTGTACATGTTCAGGGATGTGTTCATTAATCCTTGAACCATATTTCCAAAGAGCAGATTCTTCCCCAACTCCCCCCCCCCCCCCCCCCCGATTAGGGGAAAATGGAAATTTGTGTCACTGACTGAGAGACTGTAGTCTCTTTGCTGGACATCGATCATGAGTCATGAGTTACTTTTAGATCATCCAGTAATTCACTTACAGGACCATATCCAAGCAGTTGTTTTGAAAAGCTTAAGCTCAAATGAAAAAGAGCCATCATGCAATATGATATTTAATAAACTATCTATTTGTCATATAATATTATCATTACATTATTATTATGAGAATGCTGCACATTCTACTAGTGTGACTCGTGTGCACACCTGGCTTTGTGTAGCTGTGTGAAATTCTACATGGATCACACTGTCTTCTTACCTGAAGGATGTTGGTTCGGAATCCAGCAGGTATTTCCTGCAGTGGTAGATGGTGCTACTCCATTCAGCTACATTCAAACATGCTGCTGTATCACTGGATAAACGTGTATAAGGTAGTTATGCAATAGGGTCCTGAACATTTGGCAAAATGAGTCAGGTTCGACCAAAGCAAACAAGAATACCTTTCCGAAATGCACACAGGGGCAATTTTGACATGGAGACTTAAAAGATTTAACTCCCTCACCACCAGAGGAGCCTGCCTCGTTCCCACCTCTATAAAAATGAATCTGTATTTTATTACTCCTTCCTATGCTGGATTTTATGCTTGCTGAATTTTCTCTTTGAGACCCGGCGATTCTCACTTGTCCAGCGGTTTAGGCCTGCTGTTCTCATTAACGATAGAAGGATCCGGGCTACAGGCGTATGCGGTGCCTCTACACTGGAACGGATGCTAAGATACAAGAACATCAATGAGTGGGCGAGTGAGAAAACAATGAAAGCGAAGAAAAAGTGGATTCGGGAGCGGGATGGGACAAGCTTGCGTGCTCGCGGGGTTTGCCTGTCTCTAACGCCCCGTGCGCGGGCACAGGGACCGGCTTTCTCTGACAGTGGCTGATCGGTCTCTTCTGCGTAGATAATGGTGGAGTATGTCGTACATCATAAGCGACGTACCCCGTCTGTATTTCGAAATGCTTAGGAGCGCGTTCTCCGAACAGTGCCGCTTTGCTTATTCACACAGACTATCGCTCCTCTGCTCTGCTTCTTATTTGTCTTTTTGATTTTCTCTAGGCGTACATATGGTAACAGTTGCTCCTCTGTGAACACATTCTTCCTTTTTGCTAAGTAAAATGTTTAAGAATTTGTTTCCAAATCAGGTACGGATCTTTTAAAAAGTGACCAGTCGCATTAATTCGTACCTTTTCTCAGCCGTGGAACTACTTTGCTCAGTATTTTTATTTATTTATTTTTACTGTAAATGACTTGTGAGCGATTTTAATCTCCAGTTCATATGCCAAGCTAAATAGGCAAAGGGAATGAGCAAGCCGTGCATTATCCCGCACTCATTCCTCAAATCCCCCTTTTCTACTCATAGCCAAGAGGCTGCAGCATGATTCAAAGCCCGAGATGCATTGTGGGAAACCCAGCTTTTGGCAGGTCTTAGAGAAAGGGGGGAAATAATTCTGTCCTAAAGAGTTTCTTGTTTTTGTCTTCAAGTGCATCAGTGAATGATATGCCCTTTCCTTAGTCGTTAATTCAGTCACTAATGCCTTGCTGTTTTGATTAAACCGGAATTATTTTATTTGGACGTTGTTTATCCACTGAAATACAAAATTGCACCAAACTGCACCAAATTTGGCCTTTTGTCTTCATAAACGCACAGCCTATGAAGAGTGACAGGAGTGTATCTGCGCACCCTGCTTGGGACGTTGCGTTATTATTCACAGTAAGAAGGTAAAGTACAGTAATAAGGTTACGTACAAAGCGCTTTCCTTATGTTATCTCTACAATGCTGCAAACCGTAGAGAACAGCCGCGTGTCCACAGCTATTGGTTAGACTCCGCATTTTCTAGCAGACCCCCGTTAATCCTCCTAGAAAGTTATTTACTTATAATTCCCTCCCATACAGCGGGATGCGTGTCAGCCGCTTTCACGTCCCTGAGCGCATGAATTTCTGGGTGCGCGAGGCGACGTGGCGCTCAGGGGGGGCGGCGGCTGTGAGTGTGTCTGTTTAGAAAGGAGACCCCCACTGGAGCAGGCGGATGACAGTGACATATCACAGGAAAGCCACCCAGAAGGGGAATGAGCTCACATTCTCATCACGCACTAAGGGCGAGGAGGACGAGGAAGACAGACACTGGGTGAGAGCAAAAAATGGAGGGGAGGGTGAAGGGAGGAGAGCAGGGTTCGCGGAGGGAGAGGAGTCGGACAGTGGAAAGGGCTTCAGCGTGAGGCTTAAGCTGTTGGGGCTGTGAGAGGAAAGCAATGGTTCGAAGAAAGAGGATGAAGTATAGAGCACTTCCCAGTTAGCCACTGCCTCTCACACATCAAAATGGGTTTTGACAACATCCCCAAAATATGGCACCCAGCATCACAGCTGCCAGTCAGGGCATGAAGCCAATGTGATTTTTTTGCATTTAATGGTGTAAATGTAAAAATGAAACAAGCCCAAATATCACGTGATCTTAACCTTATCACTGTACTCCTAATGCAAATCCCAGGGCGTCCATTAAGAAATGGTGTGATGGTGTGTTTAACATAGTGCACCTAATTTAACACTGATATAAGCTCCACAAGTGAAATCTGAAAAACTCTGCCTTATTTGTTTATTTATCTTTAACTTCTGATTTTGTCCGGGATCTGAGGAATGTCCCTGCTTCAGAACTGCTTCTCCAGGTTAATGAGGGAGTCGCTGTGGAGAATGGTTTCCAGAGAGGAAAGTTCTGCTGCAAGGATTAAAGGTTGTGTTGGGTGTGTGTGTGTGTGTGTGTGGGGGGGGGTTAGGGTTAGGAACCAGCTTTATTACTGAAACCATAGAGGACCCAAAATAGCAGGACTTTGAAGCTTCCCAGGCACTGTACAAGACTTTATAGGTCGCATTTGGTTCTGATCATTGCTTTGTAATGCTCCCCCCCACCCTCCCTGGGCCCCGCGGCACCTCATTCTGTCGATGGCCCAGTCCCTTCCGCTGACACCCGCTATGTCCACGCAGGCTGGCCCTGTCCGATTGAAGGGAGTGGGGGCCAAGGAGGCGCCGGTGATTGGGTGTAACGGGGGGGTTGGGAAGATGGGAGAGAAGTAAGGCAGAAATGGGGGGGGGGCGGTGTCACACTGCCGCCGGCTTAAGATGAACTAAAGGCAGGAACGACCCTGAGGGAATCTTCCTTTAGCCCAAGAAAATATGACCACCATGCAACATGCCGCCTCCGGTTTCTTTGAGAGTCCAGCCGGACCTTCCGGACATCAGGCCCCGCAGTGATGGTAACGACGACGACGACAGAGCGGCTTCCCAGCAGACACAGAGCTGACGGAGTGCATTTTCCCACATGCAGTAAATCTGCCAGTGACTGTGAAATACTTTGGCTTGTAGAGATACTAGTAAAAACATGAAGGAAACGTGAGTGAAAAGCAGTGTCACAGACCTCTACGTGGGAGGTCCAGTGTGGCACAGAGACATCAGCTCATTCATCATAAAAACACGTCATATCGTGTCTGACCATCTTTTTACATTGTTTCAGTTCAGGTTTTGCTCTTTTTTTTTTTTTACACCACTTGCTATCTATCCTTTAATCCCTGTTCCCTGTATTTTACACTGTATCTCTATATTTTACCCCTTGTGTTACAGTGTTTTTTACCCTCTTTTTTCACTCTCATACTCTTCTTCCTGTATTTTACAGTGCATCTCCCTGTATTTTACCCCCTGTATTACAGTGTATCTCCCTGTATTCTACCCACTGTATTACAGTGCATCTCCCTGTATTTTACCCCCTGTATTACAGTGTATCTCCCTGTATTCTACCCCCTGTATTACAGTGTATCTCCCTGTATTTTACTGCCTGTGTTACAGTGCATCTCTTCCTACCCTCTGTTCTGCCTTTCTTTTTCTCAAGTGTATAATATCATGTTCTCCCTGCACGTTTTTACGCTGTGTTCTCCGTGTTCCACATTTTATTCTGCCTGTCATTTTGTATGGTGCCCTGCCCCGTTTTAATGTCCCGCCATGTGCCTTTAGCCCCTGTGCTTTACATTCTGTTCTGCCCCCGTGTTTATTGCCAGTGCAGCAGGTCTTCCGGGGCTGTGGTTGGGGAGGGAGGGCGTGTCGCTCGCTCCCCGCTGGATGAGCCTGCAGCCTGCCTGCCCTGCCACCCAAACTGCTGGTGAGTGCGCTGTTTACCCGGCCCGTCCTTGGTGGTCCCCCGGTGCAGGCTATATTTTTTCCCCTCATTTCTCTTTCTTTTTTTATAGCAAACACAAAATTGTTCCTAATTCTCCACTGCTAGAGGGGGGTAATTTGTGGCTTTTGGCCGAGTGCTGCAAGCTCTTAATTTGAAAAAGCTGTGCTGAAGATTTCAGTTTCTTTTTGTCTTTTCTCCCCCCCCCGAGAGATCCAGACTGCGGAAGGAAAGAGGCTCTGCCCGCGTATCAGACGGAAGAATGGCCATTAATATCCTGAATGTATCCTGAACAGAGTGCTGTCATGGACCCACAGCAGGTACTGGTGCTCTCAGTGTGACTTTGGTCCCAGCTGTACTTTCACAGTTTTGTGCATTCCCCTTTATTTCCTCAGGGTGGCGCCACTCCGTCTCCCTGCTCCAAAGTTTGGGTGAATCAGTGGCTGCAAGTGGCCCTCAGTGCTTCTGGGCTCCACAGGGCCCTCGGTGTCCCAAGAATTGGCTCCAAGATCCATGATCCTTAATGGAAAAGAGGTTGGTGAAAATGGATGGATGAGTTATTTAGAGAAATTTGCGCATGACTTTTGAAAAGCAGACTGTCATATGACAGTATCTCTCCGTGGTTTGAAAGTGCATTTTTATGGTGTTTCCGTATAGTCTGTGGGGCACTTTGCCTAACTAACAAGGAATAAATTGTTCCTATAGCCCGTTTATGGCAAGAAAATCGACTCCCTGTTAAACAGGCAGCCCAGAGCTGGGTCCAGTCCACTGCACTGCAAATAAACAAATATTTAGAAATCGTAGGGGATGCCTACATAAACATCATCCCTCTACACGCTTAAAATATCCACCGGCCTACGTCGGCTGCGGCTTGACGGCGTCTGAACACCACGGTACGTGGACCAGGCAGCCAAGAATCTCCCGTTTGCTTGTTGTGGCTCTTTGTTTGTTTGTTTGTTTGTTTGTTTCTGGTGGTTCTGGCCACAGTGAATGCACAGGATTAGTAGAGTGGGTTCATTCAGAGAGTCCGGCCAGATCGAAGAGGACAGGTTTATGAAATTCTGTTCCAGCCAGTGGTCCATCTGCACCATCGGTGTGTGTAGGGGTGGTAAAGAGAGAAGCAGAGCGAGCATGAATTGTTTGTGTTGTGAAGGTGTGACCCCCCCCCCTCCCCCCCTCCCCTGCCTCTGTGTGGATGTAAATCGACTTGCTGTCTTGCTGGTCACCGCCCTGTCCACTCGCGCCCAAGACCCTGGGCTCACGGCGCCGGCTTCCCCTCACCCCCCCCCCACCCGGTGGCCTCGTCTCGTTTGCTTTTCCTTCCGTAATTAGCCTGCCGCTCAAACATATTTGTACATTTTAATGAAGTTGAGGGAAAAAAGTAATAATCCACCCCCCCCCACAAACAAAACTGTGACTGTCGGGGGTTTCAGAGGGAGTGGTGTAACCCACATGGCCGCACGGGCTGGAAGGGCTGTTTACAGCACTGTCATACATGAGCGTTAATGTTTGTGTGTCTGTCCTTGTCCCCCCCCCCCCCCCATGTGTGTGTATAATGGACATGCAGGCTGCACAATCACAGGTGTCCTTTCTGATGTAGAATCAACGCCGGCGGCTCTGTCTAATGACAGTGCTGGGTGGTCATGAGCCGGGATCCCTGCGGCCCAGATCCGACATGTTCCTCTTGCCATTTACAGGTCTGTGTTTGTGGGTCTGTTGCCCAGATTGTGCCGGCAGATTCCATTTTGAGATCTTGGAAGAGTCCCCTCGGTTACCAACGGCGATAGAGGGCCAGCAGGGTGCTGGCAACATGTCTCTGTACATGCTGGTCACTTGGGGGGGGGGGGGGGGGCAACACCTTCGCCGTTCACTCTCCAGCGGATGTAGGTACGTCTCAAAGTGCAGCGCTTTGCCTGTCCCCTTTAATTTAGGTCATGTTCCAATGAAATTTCCACAGCGTCACGCAGCTGAGAATAATTACCTCCTCAGCACACATGACAAGGAAATCTTGGTTTGTCATCAGAGTGTTGAACACTCATGCATAAAAGTTTAAGTAACCTTCAAATTAAGTTTTTTATTTTATTACAGCACAGCTGAGATTGCTATGCTATGGCAGAGGGAATATTAAGTGAATTGAAGAGTGCTTTGGCATTTTTTTAAGATGATAGATAAGGTATTTTGGTAATTTGTTCAGTAAAACGAATGAAATGAAATATGAAGCTGGATTAACGTGGTAACTCATTACCTCAGCGAGAAATCCAAACAATACACTCACCAAAGCCAGCTGACAGATGTGGAGAAAACAGAAGGACTTTGGGTGGAGAAGGGTGTGAGGAGAGGGAACTTCAGAGACCGCGGAGAAGGACCCGTTTGCCTGAAGCCCAGAATCAGATCATCTCCCCGCACTGATTTTACCGGTGAGCATAGAAGCTTGTTGTGTGGCAATCGTGTCAAAGGTCACGGGAGGGTCAGGTGATGCTCAGGGAGGTGTGGAATGGAAACGGCACACCTCCTGCCTCCTGGACCACGCGAGCGCTCCACTGCTGCTCTTCTTCATTCTCTCCTGCTCGTCCCCTAGGCCTGTAACTCTTCTGCCTCAGCTTCTGGCGTGGCACCTTCTGCTTCTGCCTGTTTGCCGAAAGGGAGTGGGTCCCTATGAGGGCCGTAAAAGCCTGACGTCGGTGTGTTTTCCCTGCTGAAGCTCATAAAACTCCTCTGGAGGGCAGCCCCAGGGCTGGGGGGGGGGGGGGGGGGGGGGGGGGGCAGTGATCAGGCAGTGAAGGGAATTAGCTTTATGCAGTAAGTTCCCTCAATCTTTCTCTCCCTCTAAGTGTTATTCTTTTTTTTCTGGTCTGTATCTGTAGTCTGGGAGTACTCGCTTCATTAATCTCCCCTTCCATCTGCCCCCCCCCCCAAAATTTTTTTTACATTTTTTTGCTCTCATGGCTTGTAAAAACAGACTGGACAGGTGCTGGAAGGCCAAGCGCATGTGATGTGACTGAGGGATACAGAAAAAACAACAGTGACCGCATTTTTTTTCCATTTTTTCCACCATCAACGTCGCAGCGATTTATTTTAACAGATGGGGGCCCTGAGCGGCAGCCCCCGGCCGGCGATTGCGGAGTATGGATGCCGGCCCCCACTTCCCTAGTGACGGTTACGCTTTGATCAAAGAATGTCAGGCTGGGGGGAAAAAAAAGGTCAGACAGAAGCCTGATCAACAGAGGAGATAAATATTCTATTGGTTTTATTTTTACGCCGTGCTTTTCTCAGCATAGTCAGACCACAGAGCTTCACGTATACAAACATGCGGCATGCTGTGTGGGCGGAAAGGCCGGGGAGAGCAGGGGAGGGGAACAAAGCCGTCAGGCTGGACCAATAGGGGATGGGGGTCTGAGGTCAGCTGATCAAGGGCACGTTAAACAATAGGAGGTCCAAGTATCAGCAGGTAAGCCGGTGATGTTCAACTGGTCTGGATCTGGCCAAGTATGTTCTGCTGCGGCTTGTCAGTCCAAAGCCTAATTCCCTCGGCCCAAGTCACCAGGGTATGAGTGATGTTGAGACATCAGGGGCCTGTATCACAAAGCAGGATTTCTTGCTTAGCTGGATAACTTGTTCGGATTTAAGGTGCCCCAGGTTAAACTGAATTGTTCTATGTTCACTTGCATTTAGCCCAGACTACCTTAAATTCAAAAGTATAAGCGGCTTAGCAAGAAATACTGCTTTGTGAATCAGGCCCCAGTAGGGCTGTGTGTTGCCAGGCATTGGGGAAGATGTACCGTATCACAAGACAAGACAAGATGAGGCATAAAAAGTAAAAATTATTTCCTTATTATCTGGAAATTTTCAGAACTACCAACTGTTCAAATAACAGAATACAAAATTTCTTTTCATCTTCAGTGTTTTAATTCAGAAGTGTCACTTCACTTACCAGCAGATGTCCTTATCATGGTTAAAGTTCTATAATTTTAGTCTAAAATTTGTGGTTCCTCCACAGTATTTTACCGTAAGGTACGTTTTACAAACACGGGAGTCACTTTTTGTAAAAAAAAAAAATATATATATTTCCATACTTTGGATGTGTAGCATGAGCATTTTGGAAAGGTTTTTCCAAAAAAATACTCAGCATTAAATAAAATACGAACTTGCAGTGGTACCTGTTGTGATGTCCCAGTGATCTAATGGAGAACGCGTCAGGCTTCGGAGCTGGGGGTTGTCAATTTGAGTCCCATCTGAGTAGATTGGGACTGATTCCTAAATTTCCTTTGGGATTAGTAAAGTATCTGTTTACTTTCAGTTTCATACATTACAAATTTGGCATAAAAGTATAGACGATGTTTAATAATAAAACGCTAAATTAGGTTCGTGAACCCTGCAATATTTTGGGGCACGATTATCTGTGCTCAATTTTTAAGCATGATTCGCAAACTCCCGAGAGTTCGAACGTTTGTTACAGCTCTAGGGACCAGGTTAGCCCTGGGCAGTCTATTAAATTCTGAATGGAAACTGATATTCCTTGATTTTGATGTTGACCTTTGTGGTAAATATTTTAGGTGCATTTTTCAGTGATAATTTAATTATGTTTGATTGTAATTCACACTGTTGCATGTACAGTAGCCTTGTTGAATCAAAATATCTTGGGCCAATAAGTTCTTTTCGTAGGAATATGTCAGTTCTACAGTATATATGGCACTTTGATGAGAAAACCTCATTTACTGAGCAAAGTCCGATTTAATAAGAGGTCTGTTAAGCCAATCAGCAGCAGCACAATTCTGGAATAGAATGAAGAGAAACTGCTTCGGCTGATTTCATAGATTTCATTGTCTGTCATGTTGTGTGTTAATGGGTTTCTCACCATGAAAAGCACTCCATCCCGGCTAAGGACAGCTGCTGACAGAATGACGGGGCGGGGGGTGAAGCGGGGCTCTGGCCGGCGGGGGGGCGGCTGGTGCCACGCCCCAGAGAAAGTCGAAGTGAGGCGGGAGATAAAGCAAGCAGCGCTAATGTGTGTGTTGCTAATTGGAAACAGGGCACCTCTGCACCTGAACCGCGTTCCTGAGCGGGGAGGAGGCCGGGCGGGGGTCCGGTGGGGGCCCGGCGGGGGCCCGGCGGGGGCCCGGGGTCTGACTTAAAGCCGCCTTTGTTGTTTCGGGAGAGCGCTCACTCGCTCCTGCTGCCCGCGGGTCCCACCCTGCAGATGGGATGGGAGAGTTTCTTCCCAGATTTAAGGGGTCATGTCAACGATCCCACACACCAGACCACGTGAGGGACCACCCTGATGGGATCTCTGCGAGTCGTCTCCTCTCTCTCTCTCTCTCTCTCTCTCTCCCTCCTTCTCTCTCCCTCTCTCCTTTTCCAGCTCCGTGATGGTGCTTGACTTGGGTATTCCGTTGACTGGACTGCGCCCAGTTGAAGGCGGTGACTCTGGTTCTGCCGCATTGGTCCCGGAGACTCAGTGGGCTCCACCTTGACGGTACCTGACCCGATATGTCTTCCAAGGGAAGCTGAGGATGGTGAGAACTGCTACTCCGTATGAATGATAACTGAAGCCACAGAGTCACTCTAATAACAGAGACAGTAACCCAACATGAACCGAACTCAAAAATGTTGTTAAAGTCTGAAACAGTCATGTTTTATCCTATTCCAGGGAAGAAACTTTCAGTAACTTCAGTAATTTCAATAACTTCCATATGGGTTTGTGAGCAGGCAAAGGAAGTCATTCATAAATGTTACAATCATCTTTAGCACAATGCTAGGAGCTGAAATATATATTGGTTGGAACATGCCCCCCAATCACCATCCCTCCTGTCAGTCATGGTCACGTCCTTTTCGCTAATCCTTTACTTTTTGCTGTTCTCTTCAGTCCAAGTCTGTAAAAGCAAGAAAGGCCAAACTGGGAAAAAGTCACCATAAGCAGCTCTGCCCATTGTAGGAACTGACATAACATCATGAATCAAAAGCAATTGAATACAAATAAAAATGCCAGCATGGGCTGAATGCCGTCAGGACCCCCAGCTCCATTATTTCAACACAAGACGTGTCATTTACACACATCATAGGGTCCGCAGACAGCCAGGATCTGCCTGTATTTAAATATGGCCAGAATTCGTTTAACAAACTGGGAATTTAATAAGAAAAAAATCGATAAACATCTGCGGCGTTTAATTTGCTCAAAGACTGAAAGCACGTCCCCCCCGGCCTGAGAGCCAGACATATGGGGGCCAGATCCGTAGCACAATTCTGTTCGCACAGAAATGACCTTTCTTCTTAGTTTCTGGAGGAATAAATATGCGGCGACTAAAATTACATCGCGGCAGCCCGTCTGCGCGGCCTGGACGTCTGCGGAAAGTTCCGGGCCCCGGCCGATGATTTGGTGGACTTTGTGCCCAGCTCTCTGTCAGTTACACTCTGGCACTTACGTGCATTGACCCAGTGGTAGACAGACACTCTCTATCCCTCCCCCACCCCCCGCCTCCGGGTTTCAGCTACCCCCCCACTCACTGTCACACACACTCACCTTACATTCCTCATCTGAATCTTCACCTCAATGTCACCAACTGCCTCCACATCTCTGTCTCCTTTATCCTGTAGCCAATAATAAAAAAAACACTCAAAGAACAAAACTAAACATATTGTGGGAGAAAGAGTCGGACATGATTTTATTTGCATTTAAACATTTCTAATTGCATTAATTATTCATGCCCAGTAGGAATTTATTCGAACCATCTTTATATTTCTATGTAACAATTGTTTTTTACCTCAATAGAATAATTCTAAACATCCCTTTTTAAATAAATGAAACAAAGCATTTGTTTTAATTCGTTTTGATGTGGCTCTGCTTTGAGTGTTCTTTTGTCTTGGCAGCCCACCCCCCATTTCTGGCTTTGTTCAGGAAAAGCCACCAGCACCTCTGGGGTGTTTCGGAGTGACTCGGAGCGTCGGAGCGCCATTCCGTTCTCATTACGGCCCTCCCGCCATTCCCAGGCCGTCCTCTTTCCCATTCCGGAAGACGCGACGCATTCAAAGGGACCGCAGGACAAATCAGAGGCCTCTTCTGTGCGCTGCAGAACAAGGTTGCCTTTCATGTCAGGGCAGATGAGGAGTGTGTCTGGGCGTTCGCCAGCCCCCAGCCCCCCCTCAGCTCCACTTTTGGGGAAAAGTCGCCGCCAATAGCATGAAGCGAGCAGAGCGTGAAAGTCAGGCGCTCCTCTCCTCCCTCACCGCCATCAGCCCAAAGTGGAGTCGCCACTATCATCCTGCGCCTGCACGACGTGGCCGAACGTCACCTTAAACCTGGCTGCTAACGGGTGTCGCTGTAATGGCTTTCCGACATTCCCCCGGCTGCTGCGGCGACTCCCTGGACCAGGGTGTTCCCGTCTCGCTCACATCCGGCATGGTTTCTCACCCACCGAGTCTGAGAGCCGAACTCTGCGCCCTGCGGCCGCAGGTTATGAGTCTGTTTTTTCTATGTCATAGAACTCTCTGGAAGGCCGGACCTACTACTGCCATCTTTTGATTAAGAAAGATCGCCGGATGGCGCCGCGAGCCAAACTCCTGTAGGCCACCTCGACAGATGGCCGATAGCTTTTGTCAGGATTAACGCTTAAAACACTGGTTACAGATTGTTGAATGCCCTCTGGCCTTAGAGGACACATTGCATGATTCTGATTCCATACCCTACAACCCTCCCCACTGCATGACATCGCCATAGGGTATTTCCTACAATCTCCTCATTGGACGACAACAACATACGCTTACCTTACATGTCTCCTAATTGGACAACAATTCCATATGCATATCCTAACACATACCCTCATTGGATGACAATGCCATACGGTGACCACAACAAGCCACCTATCTGTTGAATGCTACTTGCAATACATGTCCTGGCCATAAGTGGAAATTAGCGGGAGAACATTTTAAAATAAATTTCAAGAAGCACTTCTTTACACAGCGTGTAGTTAGAGTATGGAATAGTCTTCCTGCTAGTGTAGCGGAAGCTAAAACCCTGGGTTCCTTTAAATCAGAGCTAGATAAGATTTTAACAACTTTGAGCTGTTAGTTAAGTTCTCCCCAAACGAGCTTGATGGGCCGAATGGCCTCCTCTCGTTTGTAAATTTCTTATGTTCTTATGCTTTTATGCAGTACAATTTGGGTCTGCTTTGCTGTCCTCAGGGAATACAGCTTAAAGAGGAGGTTGTGTGTCAATAACCCCTTTGGGGGGCCCCGTTCACTTCGGCAATGACGGCGGCTCCATCATGCAGGTGGCAGCTGTTACCAGCACAAGCCGACTTCAGGCCAAACGGCGGATTAATAGAGACACGTCGGGGAAAATGTTGCACGTCAGCTCGAGTTTGCCACACTATTAATCAGTGGTGGGCAGCCTGAACCTAACCTGCCCCCCCACCTGCCGTTCCGCCCTGTGCCTCCCCCCCTCCCGCCCGGTGATTCTCGGGGACAGGAGGAAAGTAATTAGTCTGCAAATTAAGCGCTCTTTAAATTTCAGTGGGTGCCTGTCAGAGGAGGCACAGTGCAAAACCGCAAGCCCCTTGGAAGTTTCCCGAAAGCTCTACCGCCGCAAGCCCCCCCACTGCTCCCCTAGCCGGCAAAATGGCCCCCAGTTCTCCTCGACTCCCCACCGCAACACAGATAGCTATTATTAAAACGCCTTTCTCCCGGGCGGGGCTCTGATCCGGGGCTTCCCATGTGTCTCTCATGAAGGTTTGGCCCAGCCTTTCTCCGTTGTAATTGCCTTCAATCCATCAATAACCCCCCCGCCCACCCGCCCCACCCCATAATACCGACCTCGCACATAAAACACGCTCTCACATTCCGGCCTGCAAATCCAGCATGTACAGGGAAAACATCCACCAGCAATGTGTCACACTTCCCAGCCAAGCCCCGCCCCTCCTGCTCCCCCCCAGCCCAGCCACAGACATGCACTCCTCTCTCCTGCTAATCCCCTTTTCTTCTCACCAAAAGGAATTTAGCAAGTGACTTTAAATAGCTTTAATGCGGTTTAATAATAAGTATCGCGAGTCGGCCTGATTGTCCCCCCATCCGGTGTTGCGAGTGCTAAGCAGCTGTGTGGCGAAAATGAACTGAACCGAAATGATTTGGCAGGAATTACAGGAATTACACAGAAGTGCACAGAGCCGCTCGTGTGGTTCCGGGCGTGACAAGGGCACCGGGCCGCGTTTGGGTTTGTGTCCCGCTCCTCTCTCCCTGTTCATACCCTTATTCTATTGTCCTGCCTGTCTTGTTGCTTGCCGCCTGATCATTTTAACTACAGACTGCTCACTGAAGGATGGCAGGTTGCTATTTCGGGGGCAGGGGGGGGTCTCAGGACATAGGATGGCTTTGATAATAGGTCAGTCCAAAGGGTCCCTTAGTCGTTACACACCTGTCTATTAAGGAATGTTGTGTTTCCTTTGGTTTCCGCCAAGTACCGGTGCGGCTCAGTCAGTATAGATGGTGATCTGAAGGTTGCCAGTGATTTTGCCAGTGATTTTGCTGTCGGGCCCTTGATCGAGGCCCTTAACCACCCAACTTTCTCAATTGTACCTCACTTTGGATAAAAGTCTCTGTTTAATACGTGAGTGAATGTCACCGGGTCGTTCGTAAATTCCTCCTCTTTTGCTGATTGGTGTCACTGCGCTGGTTGGCATCCTCACGCGAAGCTCTCCGCCCACCCTGCGTCGGCCTGTGAGTTCCGGTGCTTTCCGTGCCCCCGTTCTGCCACCCTGGCCTTGGTGCGCTGTCTGCGCTGCCCCCAGCGTCTCTCCACGCGCCTTAATGCATTTGCCTGACGTGGTCTCCAACGCTCCCCTCACGTTCGGGACTCTCACTTTCCACAAAAAAGGGATGGAAACGTGTTTTTACAAGCTTTTCCTAGGGCTTGGATCACACACAGCTCGCGCGGCGCTGCCAGGATGAGTAAAAATAATAACAACAGTACCAACTAAAACAATACTGCTCTCTTTTCACGGTCCAGGTAGGAGAGATCCTGCCTGGCTCTGGTTGAGATCTCGCCCTTTCTCTCTCCCTCCCTCTCTGTCTACGTGGAGTGTTGCACTCAGGAGAGATACGGTATCCTTATCTGTTTGTTTTACCAATCATGCTGAATTCAATTACCCCCATTATCTGGCCTTTGTTTAGCCCTGGGGGCGAGGACAGATAATCACATAAAAAGTTACAGCTTTCCAAAAGCACGTCCCATTTACACCTGGCCCAGCTTCAGCTTAGAGACCCAGTAACTGGACTGGCCTGTTTAATATACTTTGCTGTTGCCAGCAGTAAATAAACAGAAATTGGTTTAATCTTATATAAGTGAGAATGTAGCGGCCAGTTATAAGGTGCAGCTTTTTCCCATTGGGATTTATCTGTTTGGCTGGACCTTTCATCCTGAAAGTTTACTGGGGGGGGGTGGCTCTTATACGATGTAGGGTAGGGTCAGCCCCCCCACCCCCGGGACACATCAGCAGGGTGCTAATGGGAAAAAGATGAGTGGACCCAGGTTTTTGGAGGGTGCCGCCATGGGGGGGGCCTGCTGTGTGGGCTCGGGTTTCAACACAATGCCCCGTTCACCCGGGCTGGAGGAGGTCACAACCCCTGGGGGTGGTCTGGGGGATCGATAGAAGCACCCCCCCCCCCC